GTGCCTACACTGTTTGCATAAATAATGTGGTATCTGTCGAACACCTGTTTTCCTTCTGAGAGCCTGCAATTTTGGTACACGTTAGGCAGAGGATATCTATGTGATCTGTTCCCAGTAAAAACCTTGGGTGTTAAATATCTAATGAGCTTTCCAGGTAGACAGAACTTCATGTGCTGTCACATCTGTTGTCAAAACTTATTGCTACAGGACTTGTGTCACACATGACCCTATTCAGATAAGGATTTCTGAAAGTTTGTGTGTAGTTTTCCCAGACTTTGTCCCAGGCGCCTTATCTCTTTGTTGATTTTGCTTTGTATTCTTTTGCTGTAATAAATCTTAGCCATAAGTTCAAGTATATCCTAATCCCTGTGAGTCCTTATAGCAAATCATTGAACATGGGAGTGGTTTAGGGAAACTCTGACACAGTGGTATAACAGTTTTCCAGGGAAGTCCTTTGTCAGAATTTATCTTAATATTTAAGGCACATTATATTTACAATAATGGAAATATATAAAGATAATGAATACTAATTTAAAGCATTTGACTTAAGAATACACTTTGATCTACTCAGTCAAATACTGGACAAAATGTTGCTACCTCATTAATCATCACCAAAGAAATCTGCTATACTGTATCTACATGAGTGCCTCTTGCCTTGATCTGTATTTCAAAAGGATTCTGATGTATAGCTGATTTAATTTTTGTTTTATTTATTTGTTTGTTTATTTTTGAGTCAGAGTCTCATTCTGTCACCCAGGCTGGAGTGTAGTGGCATGCTCACAGCCACTGCAGCCTTGACCTGCTGGTCTCAGATGATCTTTCCACCTCAGCCTTCCAGGTAGCTGAATCTACAGGTGTGTGCCACCACGCCCAGCTAATTTTATGATTTATTGTAGAGACACGCTCTTGCCAAGTTGCCTAGGCTGGTCTTGAACCCCTGGATTCAGGCAGTCCTCTCGCCTCTGCCGCCCAAAGTGCTGGGATTACCGGCATAAGCCAGGTTTAATTTTTTTTAATGTTAAATTATGTATGAATATATTCCCATACATGAAATAATGTTATATAGAAAAGAATTACCTGAGTAATTCATCTGTACTTAGTATAGTACCAGGAAATTTTGTGTGTAGATATAACTTTGTAAACCCACAAACATTCCTTTGTTCTTTATCCTAAATTGGTCTTACCTACATAGGCAAACCATAGATTAAACTGCAGTGCCATGTATATTTATGTCAGGGTCCATGCCAGCAAATATATTTTCTCACTAAAAAGGGTTAGGCTGACACTTTAACTGTACAGGCATATCTTGTTTTATTTTGCTTCACTTTATTGGGTTTCACAGCTATTATGTTTTTTATAAATTGAGGATGTGTGGTAACCCTGCATTTAGCAAGTCTGTCAGCATATGCTCACTCTGAGTTTCTATGTCACATTTTGGTAATTCTTGTAATATTTAAAACTTTTAAATTATATCTGTTATGGTGATCAGTGAGTTTTGATATTACTACTGTAATTGTATGGGGGCACCATGAACCATGACCATAAAAAACAGTGAACTTAATCGATGCATGTATGTGCTCTAACTGCTCCACCGACCTGCAGTTCCCCCTGTTTCTCTCCCCCTCCTAGGGCCTCCCTATTCCTTGACACAACAGTATTGAAATTAGGCCAATTAATAAGCCTACTAAGAGCACCAAGGGTTCAAGTGAAAGGACGAGTTCCATGTCTGTCTCTTTAAGTCAGAAGCTTGAAATGTTTAATCTTTGTGAGGAAGGCACACTGAAAGCCAAGACAGGCTGAAAGCTGGACCTCTTGGCCAAGCAATTAGCTAAGCTGTGAATGCAAAGTCTTTGAAGGAAATTAAAAGCACTGCCCCAGCGAACACCTGAATGATAAGAAAGCAAAACAGCCCCATTGCTGATATGGAGAAAGCTGGAGCCAAAACATTCCCTTCAGCTAAAGCCTAGTCCAGAGCAAAGCCCTAACTCTCTTCAGTTCTATGCAGGCTGAGAGGTGAAGAAGCTGCAGCAGAGAAGCTGAAGCTAGCAGAGGTTGTTTCATGAGGTTTAGGAAAATAAGCTGTCTCTGTAACAGAAAAGTACAAGGTAAAACAGCAATTACTGCAGCAAGGTACTCAGAAGGTTTAGCCAAGGTCACGACAAGGGTGGCTACACTAAATAACAGATTTTCAACACAGACCAATAGCCTTCTATCAGAAGATGCTGCCGCTTAGGACTTTCGCAGTTAGAGAGAAAAAGTCAACGTCTGGCTTCAAAGCTTCAAGAACAGGCCGACTCTCTTGTTAGGTGCTAATAAGCTGCTAACTTGTTGGTGACTGGCATGAAGCTAGTGCTCACTGACCACTTTGAAAAATCACAGGGCCCTTGAGAATTATGCTAAATCTACTCTGCCTGTGTTCTAGAAATGGAGCAAGAAACCCCCTGCATGGCAGTGCAACTGTTTGCAACGTTAAAAGTTTACTGAATTTTTTTTTTTTTTTTTTTGAGTTGGAGTCTCACTTGGTCGCCCAGACTGGAGTGCAGTGGCCGCTCCCAGCCACCGCAACCTCGCCTGCTGGGCTCCAGCGATCCTTCCGCTTCAGCCTTCCGAGTAGCTGGAATTACAGGCGCGTGCTACCACACCCGGTTGATTTTTTGATTTATTGTAGAGATGAGGTCTCGCTGCCCAGGTGGGTCTCGAACCCGCGGGCTCAGGCAATCCACTCACCTCAGCCTCCCAAAGGCACAGGATTACAGGCTCAGCCACCGAGCCCGGCTTTTACTGAATATTTTAAGTCCACTGTTGTGAGCTACTGCTTAGGAAAAAGATTTCATTCCAAATATTGCTGCTCACTGACAATGCACCTAGTTACTATCCAGGAGCTATGAGAAAGATGTACGAGGAGATTCATGCTGTTTCGTGCTTATTAACACAACACAGTCTGCAGCCCGTGGATCAAGAAGTAATTTCAATTTTCAAGTCTTGTTATTTAGGAAATACATTTTGTGAGGCTACAGCTGCCATAGATAGTGATTCCTCTGATGGATCTGGGCAAAGTAAATTTAAAATCTTGTGGAAAGGATTCACCATTCTAAATGTCATCAATAACACGTGTGATTCACGGAAGAAGGTCAAAATACCAACAGTAACAGAAGTTTGAAAGAAGTTGATTCCAACCCTCATAGATGACTTTGAGGGGCTCAAGACTTCACTGGAGGAAATAACTGCAGATATGGTGGAAATGGCAAGAAAACTAGAATTAGAAGTGGAGTGGAATCTGAAGATGCAACTGAATTGCTGCAATCTCACGTTAAAACTTGAATGGACGAGCAGTTGCTTCTAATGGGTAAGCAAAGAAAATGGTCAATTGAGATGAAATCTACTCCTGGTGAAGATGCTGTAAACGCTGTCAAAATTAGTACAAAGATTTAGAATATTCTATACACCTAGTTGATAAAGCAACAGCAGGGTTTGAGATGACTCACTCCAAGTCTGAAAGAAGTCCTACTGTGGGTAAAATGCTATCAAATAGCATCACATGACATGGTGAAGTAATTCATGAAAGAAAGAGTCAATCAATGCAGCAAACTTCACTTTTGTCTTATTTATTTATTTTTTGAGTTGGAGTCTCACTCTGTCACTCAGACTGGAGTGCAGTGGCCGCTCCCGGCCACCGCAGCCTCGCCTGCTGGGCTCCGGCAATCCTTCCGCCTCAGCCTTCCGAGTAGCTGGAACTACAGGCACGCGCTACCATGCCCGGCTGATTTTTTGATTTATTGTAGAGATGAGGCCTCGCCAATTTGCCCAGGCAGGTCTTGAACCCGCAGGCTCAGGCAATCCACTCACCTCAGCCTCCCAAAGGCACAGGATTGCAGGCTGAGCCACTGAGCCCAGCTACTTTTGTCTTATTTTAAGAAACAGCCATACCCTGACCTTCGGCAACCACCACCCTGACCAGTCAGTGGTCATCAATATTGAGGCATGACCCTCCACCAGCAAAACATTATGACTCACTGAAAGCTCAGATGATCATTAGCATTTTTTAGTAATAAGGTTTATTTTCCATCTATTTATTTATTTTTTTAATAGAGGTGAGGTCTTGCTATGTAGCCCAGGCTGGTCTCAAACTCCCGGGCTCAAGCAATCCTCTCTGCCTCGGTCTCCCAAAGTGCTGGGATTATAGGCATGAGCCACTGTGCCTGACTAGTATCTTTTAAAATTCAGATATGTACATGGTTTTTCTAGACATAATGTTATTGTATGCTTAATAGACTGCAGTATAGTATAAACATAACTTTTGTTTTTTTTTTTTGAGTTGGAGTCTCACTCTGTCACCCAGACTGGAGTGCAGTGGCCGCTTCCGGCCACCGGAGCCTCGACCTGCTGGGCTCCGGCAATCCTTCCGCCTCAGCCTTCCGAGAAGCCGGAATTACAGGCGTGAGCTACTACACCGGCTGATTTTTTGATTTATTGTAGAGATGAGGTCTCGCTGCCCAGGTGGGTCTCGAACCCGTGGGATCAGGCAATCCACTCATCTCAGCCTCCCAAAGGCACAGGATTATAGGCTGAGCCACCGGGCCCGGCTAAACATAACTTTTATGTGCACTGGGAAATCCAGAAATTCATGTGACTTGCCGTATTGTGATATTCTCTTTATTACAGTGGTCTAGAATCAAACCACAAGATCTATGAGCAGTGCCTGTATTTATATTGTTGTTAAAGGTGTAGTTTTAAGCTCTCCTTAGGTACAGGGTTATTTTAGTTAAAAAAATAATATATCATGCTTCAGAACCAAAAATGTCTCTGGTGTCTAAAAAAAATGTCTATAAATAGTGAACAGAGATCACAAACTTCTTTAAGTTCTCTTACCGTCTGCTATTTGATATTGTTGCTATAAAAACTAGAAGTTCAACTTTCAAAATGTACTGAGCACCTGTTTTATCAGGAGCATTCACATGCAAATATAATTAATTAGAAAGAAATTACATAGCCAGACTTACGTTTTCACTAGATTCTCTTTCATCCTAGGCAGTTGTTCCATCTGTTGCCTTTTAGAATCTTGATGAGAGCCAGAAACCTGAAATACAAAAATGCGAGTGTTTATCCTCTTATTTCATAATTGAATTCAGAGACAGGAGTAGTCAATTCTCAATTAACTCTTCCATAACCAAGTCCTTTCATAGCATGTGTAAGAGAAGCCGAAGAATAATGGAAAATTCTGGCCTTCTCCTTTCTTATCATGCTTCTAAAGAATCTGGAAATCCCTATCTCAAACCCACAGTCCATGTGAAAAAAATATGGAGGGAGCTGTGCAAACTGTATCATACGAGTCGGATAGATCACTAAAGATTTTGTAGTAAGACATTAAATATACCTCATACATGTACCCTGTCATTAGGGTAGATAAGACAATAGAAGCTGTAGGTAGGTTGAAGCAGAAATGGAAATACAAGGTCACATTTTCATTTCTGTCTATTTTGAAATCCCTCCAGCATATAAAAGTAGAAACTTCTTGTGGGCAGTATAAATACAAGCTGCGATTCAGGAACAACTGAAGCTGATGGGCTCAGAGATGGTGATGGAAGCCATGAGGGAATGAGATCATTCATTAAGGGCATACAGGGAGGTAAAAGAATCAGCAATAGAAACTTGGGGAGCAACTTTTTGAAAGATGAGAGAACCATCAGACAGACTGGGCCATTATTTAAACAATGGGAAAACGGGGTGTGGGGGAATGTCACAGAAGTCAAGTAGGGTGTGGGGCACAGTATTCAAAGTATGCATAGTTAGAAGTAAAATGCCTCAGAGATGCCTAACACCAAGAGGCTTGAAGGGGAGTCATTGTCTTTGGCAATTAAGAGATAAACTGGACCAGAACACATTGGTGGAGGTCAAGTGAAAAGTAAAGGCAGCGAGAATATTCACTCTTTCATGAAGTCTGGCTGAGAAAGCAAATGTGGTTTTATGAGGGTGGCTGGTGTTTAAAAAAATGTTTTTTTGATGGAAGAGTCAAGAGCATTGCAAGCAAAGTATAAGCACAGTCAGTGAAAGAGATTAAAAATATAAGAAGAAATAATGATTAAGTGAGTCCTAGAGGCAGCAGATAGACTTGGGAAGAAGTTTGAGATCCTTTTCCTTCAAAGCAAAAGGAAGAAGAGGAATGGTGGATAAAGATGTGAATAAATTTGAAGATAAAAAAGGAGGATAATTGGGTTTCACACCTGATAGACTCTCTCTGTGAGATAAGATACTAGACAGTTGCTAGCAGTGACACGTTTGGGTGCTTTGGAACAGAAAATGGAATTCCTTCATTCATTCATTCAGCAAAAGTTATTGAGTATCTACTAGGTGCTACCACTCCATGAAGCCCTGGGGTACAAAGACAAATAAGTCATTGTTCTATTAGGGAAGCAGCAAAATAAACAGAAGATTACAGTTAGTGCTTTGATAGAGGTTTGCCCAGGTGCTTTGCAAGCATACAGAAGATGTAACTAATTTTGGCTATAGAAGCATTTCCCATGGAAGAACAGCCAGCTAAGAACTAGGAAAAGGATATTCCAGATAGAAGGAACAGCAAGGACCTTGGGGATAAAGCAGCTGCACATAGCATTTGGTCCGACTGCAATAAATAGCAGGGATAAGGCTGCAGAGATAGCACAGCCACGTTGGGCAGGACCCTGTAGAGACAGATGACATCAACAAGCTTTGCTGTGACCCTTTGGGCCACATAAATGGAAGGTTTTCCACAGGAAATGACACCGCAATATATGTATTTTAGAATGACTGCTCAGGCAGCAGAGAAAAACATGGGTGTGGTGGTGACAAAACTCTGACGGCTTTACTGTTGAGAGTCCATCTCAAGTACTGAATTTAAATCTGGGAGCTCAATGTTTAAATGAACAACAACAAAATAGTTATAATATCCAAAAAGGCAGCAGAAATACCTGGGCAGCCTGGAACCTATGTCATGAGGAATGGCTGATGGAACTTAATATTTTAGCTCCTAAACAAACAAACAAACAAAAGAACCGAGGAGAGACTGAGAAGTGTTTAAAAATTTTTGAAAAACTATCATGCAGAAGAAGTGTAGACTCATACTATATATATATATATATATATATATATATATATATATTTTTTTTTTTTTTTTTTTGAGTTGGAATCTCACTCTGTCGCCCAGACTGGAGTGCAGTGGCCGCTTCTGGCCACCGCAGACTCAACCTGTTGGGTTCCGGCGATCCTTCCGCCTCAGCCTTCCAAGTAGCCGGAATTACAGGCATGCGCTACCACGCCTGGCTGATTTTTTTATTTATTGTGGAGATGAGGTCTCGCTGCCCAGGCGGGTCTCGAACCCGCAGGCTCAGGCAATCCACTCACCTCAGCCTCCCAAAGGCGCGGGATTACAGGCTGAGCCACCGAGACCGGCTCATACTATATTTTTTAAACTTATTCTGTGTGCTCTTCAGAGGATGGAAATAAAACCATTGGGATTTCAGGAAGTTTTAAGAAAGGAGAAAAAAGAGCAACCCATGATGCTTTAACAATTCTAACAATTAAAATTTTCTAGCAATGAAACAGAACAGCCTCAGATTCCTTATCTGTAAACTAAAAGCATTATTTATATTCACGATCTCTCAGAGTCATTGCTGAAATTATAGGATTATGGGAATAGAAGCCAAAACTTAAGTTTATTATGTGTTTGAAACAAGCTCTGGTGAGCTTTGCTGCCTTTTAAGAAAAGCAGTGTATCTATGTATTCTGTAAAAGCAATGTCCAAATTGTATACACATTGTGCAAATCAGAAGACTTCTAAGATGGGAAAATATAGTTTCTGTTAAAATAATGAATCAAGAATGAAACAAAGTCAGAGAGACAGCAGAAGAAGTATAAACTGCAAACTCAGCAAATAGCTCCAAGTATCTACCAAAGAATCAATTATTTATGTATTCAACATGGGAAAAACTGCAAATCAGTCATTAACCTTTCCAGTCACCGAAGTATCAGTATGCTCAGAACCGTCTACCACTGTAAAGATGAACAGTTCACTCTAGAGTGAAAATCCTTATTAACACTTATGCTGGGGACAGGATTAATGTCTTCCTGGAAAGCTGCTAAAATGGGCTTTTATTGTATGTCCAGTAATCCTGTATAGTCAGAGTAGGGTTATTTCACCCAAATGAATTTTTTCAGATAAACAGAGGTAAATGAATGCTTTGAGGGCAAAAAACCCCCTTTACTCTTAACCTTTAAAAACTTCTTCACCAATGTTGTGTATATCACCTTCTTCTGAATAACTTGGGCTTATCGTTATTAACATAATTTCTGTATTATGTTCAATTCAGCAGATAGTTTGGAATATTTATTATTTGCTACTCATTGCACTAAGTGTAAGGAAACAAGGAATGAGGTGCTCTGTCTGACCTCAGGCAGGAGCCTACAGCTGAGTAAAACGAACAGATATATCAGCAGTAGGGGAGGGAAGGTTACGGCAAACAGAAACGCTGTTGCCCGTTACAGAGAGAGAGGCTGGGGAGGTCAGGAAGGATAAAAGGAAAGCACCATTGACCACTGACTGGAACTGGGAACTATGAAGTGTCAGGCACTTACTCAGCAGTCATGCACATGCCATCTCAAAACACTCACAGAACCCCAGAAAGACACTGACCCAGAGGAGGAAAGAAATTAAGGCCCAGAAAGGTCACAGGGACCTAAGTGAAGGGCGGATACCCCAATTCCAGGAAGCAGTGGCTCTACAGTCTGTAGTCCCTTCCTCATGTCATTGGCTCATCAAGACGGTAGCATTTGTGCTAGACCTCGAACAAAGAGAAATTGGCGGGCAACCCCTTTGTGTCCCCTCCCGCGTTGGGAGCTTTTCTGTCTTCTCAGTAAGTCCTGCTTTCAAAGAAAAAAAGAAAGAAAGAGAAATTGCCAGGTGTGACTGATGAGGGCCGATTCTAAATCTACAGCCCGAGGACAGGCAAAAGGATGCCCGTGCTGCTGCAGGAGGAAGCAGTGCTCCTGACCCAGACTATCAAGGATCATGAAGTTCGGACTGTCTATTGATGGTTAAGAGACTACAAGGACTGAGCCTATCTAGTCTCCACTTTCCACTTACTTCAGTCAACACTCACAAGTCCAAGCTTCCCCTTTTCCACTGTAGCCCCGACTTTCTCAAATTTTCAATACATCTCATTGGTTCCAACTCCCAGCATGACTCTCTTCTTCCAGATCCTTTCAACCCTTTCATTAATTCCCCCAGACACTCTGAATCTGTGATTAGCCAATGACCCTCTAGGTTGAGCCCATCCCGAAGGTCCTTCATCTCTTTGTCTAACCCAGCTAGGTCTTAAAGGTCTTGAGGACTCCAACCCTCTTTCTGGCTTTTCTTCCCTTGACTATCACTGTTGAAGCTCTTCACCACGATAGCCGCGTCTGTTTTTTTCACCCTGTATACTCTCCCCAATGTCTTTCTTTTATTCCGATGATTTAGTTTACTATCTATATACTAACAATTTTCAATCTATATTGACAATAATTTTTTCCCTGAGATTCATATATCCAACTGCTCTTTGAACATTTCTGTTTAGTTAACACACACTGAAAACTGAACTTACATCCTAATCTTAAAACATATACCAAAATGAAGTTAATAGAAATTAAATATTTAAATTTCAAATATTATGCCACGTAAGTACTATAAGATAATTATGGTGAATGTTATGAAACATTGAGATGAAGATGGTCTTTTTAACTATGGCACTAGGAAGCATAAATATAGTTCTGACAACATAAAACTAGAAACTCTATAATACCAACAATGTCATAAATAGAACTGAAAGACAAATGAAAAACTGGAAAATATATGCAGCATCTTTCATAATTTGCTGATCACTTTCTGGTCCTGTGTTTGTTTCTCAGTACCCTGTTCCTACCAATAGCAATTCTGATTTTAGATGTCACCATGCAGATTATGAAGTGAAGTGCATTGACCGTCATGACAGCAGAGGGATAGGGTTATGGATAAAACTAAAAGAATAACTAAGGAAGCTAATATGAAAAGTAACCTCTTAATTTGGGAAGCTTTTAGCTCCTTTGTACCTCTTTGTAAAAGTCATATCTTCCTTTCAATCCTCTGTATTTAGAAACTTGGTACATTTTCTCCCATAATTCCAATATCTTCTCTACCAAACCAAACCAAAGTCCAGAAAGATAAAAAACATAATTTACCATATGAGAAAAGCCTTCAAATTTGGAAGTTTTTTTTTTAAAAAGTTACCTGAGACATTTCAGCTAGGTATGTGCGGCGTTCATTGTTGGTCTTGTGGTAAGCCTATTTGAAAGTTATAAAAATAAAGAATCCAACATAAGAGAAGATCAGTAATATTGCAAGGCTATTACTATGTTAAGGGTTGTACCTCTATCTCATTTTTTAAATAGTGTAGGAAATAGTTTTGTGAGCATTTTGTGATAATCATATAGTAGGTCTATACAGAACACTAGAAATAACAGTAGTTTCACAGGGATTGCTTAGTGTCGAGTAAAAACAAACCTTTGTTTCTTGTTCCAGTCTGAATGCATAGTTTTTCACTTGATTCTCAAGACTCCTTTTTTCTTTTTCTAGCTGTTTAAGGATTGTGTTTAAGGATTCCTGAAAGCACAAACAGTAAAATTTTATATGTACTCATGTTCTAAACAACAATGAGAAATGACCACCAGTATCTTCACTAGCGAATGCCTTCTATACCTAGCATTCTGTGGTTTCATAATTCTATAACATGCATATTTTAAGTAATAGTCATAATCACAATATTTATTAAACCATAACAATATGCAATGTATTTTACTAAGTGCATTTCATAAATTATTTCATTTGATCTTTATTACAACCCAAGATGGCCAATACATTTATTTCTATTTTACCATTGAGAAAACTGCAGCTTATAGAGATTACATAACTGGTCTAAAGACATGCAACTAATAAATGGTAGAGCTGGAATTAGAACCCAGGAAAAATGACTCCAAAGGCCACATATAATAAATAAGTATTATATGGGTATTTATATGTTGCTACCATTGTGACAAAAAGGTGAAGACATTTCAAGACTATGTCCTGGCTGGATGTGGTGGCTCACACCTATAATTGCAGCCCCTTGAGAGGCCAAGGCAGGAGGATTGCTTGAGGTCAGGAGTTCAAGGCCACCCTAGACAACAGAGTGAGACTCTGAACAGGGTGTAGTGGCACACACCTGTAGTTCCAGCTTCTCGGGAGGCCAAGATGGGAGGATCACCTGAGCCCAAGAGTTCAAAGCTGCAGTAAGCTATGATCATGCCAATGCACTCCAGCATAGGCAACAGAGCAAAATACTGTCTCTTAAAAAATAAAAAAAAGTCCTATTTCTAACTGTATATATTATGTCAATTTTTACTTCCTGCTATTTAGAGATCTACAAGGGAAGATCATATAAAGGAAAAAGCTTATTGCACCTTTTTCATAGAAGAGGGAATGGCATGAATTATTATTATTCACATCAGTATCACAGTACATATACATAATTATAAATCATTGGTGTAATGTACAATTAAAATACATAATTTATGTCTTCCAATCTGAATTACACTAGTCCCCTAGTACTAGTGAAATAAATAAAAGCAAACCCTTATGTAAAAAGGTAAAAAGCATCAGCTATTTGTGATGAGGTGTATCTAGGCCGAGGTCTTAGTTTCCAGAATTGCTCTACCCTGTATCCTCTCACAGTTCTCCTGGTTATCAACCTTATTACCTGTTCTGCCACTCTACTTCTCTCACTTTTTTGACTTAATGAATACTTTCATTATCCTGATCATATTTTTTCTCTTTTTGGTGTCAGTGCAGTCCTCACAAACTCTAAAACTTTCTTTTCTGAATGCTACCTCTCCTAAGAGCTTCCCACCCCATCTGTTTTAGTTTTTCAGAGAGGATCTAGATGTGCAGTTTCCTGGGTATCAAATATAGAAATGAAGAAAAGCTTTCAAAAATCTTATCATCCCTTTACCTTGCCAACATGTCACTTAGGGCAGAAATCTGAATGGACTTGATGATGGGGGCAAGGAGGTCTGGGGAAGAGGTATGTGGATGAATCAGTACGAGTGGGATCAAAGGGTAAATAAGATCTCTGTATTGCACAGTAATTCTCACCAGAGATCACCTACTACAGAACAGGCCTTAAGCCAAGCAGACCAAAGACTTCCCCAGAAGATGTCATCCAGCTTCTGTCCTTGGTCACCCCAGTTTTTGGACAAGGGGCTTATGAACACGAGGCTGAGACGGGGGACTGTTAAGTGGCTCTGCAGCACGGATTCCTTCCCACCAAGGTTGATCTAATACTTCGCTGCTCTATGTCTAATCTGACTGCAAGAGATATCAACACAAGCCTCTGACACAGTACCGTCCTTCAAGGAGATCAACCTTGACTGCAGCTGATGACATAAAATGTCTTCCACTGTAGAAAGAGCAACCATTCATCCTGAAATGTGTTCATCATACAGTTTTACCTTTTCTACCACATCCCCTCCACCAGCAACATACTTTGGTAGTCTATCAGTTCTGAGAGGGAGAGAGGGCTTCTTACACGAAACATCTCCTTTAGGCAAAATACCAGGCTTGCCACCCTGTTTCAGGAGGGGTTGGCTGGATAATCAGCTAGCTGATATCCAAGATTGGGAGTGTAGCAAAATCAGTGGCTCAAAGCATATGAGCTGAAGGCAGACTGGCTGGGCATGAGGCTGGGCTGGGTTTTGAAGCAAGATCTGTACTATCACCAGAAGACAAGATTTGCCTGTTCTGTGGAAAAGCTGAATTCCATATGGCGAGACTTGTCTCCAGAGCCTGCCCCATGATCACAGAAGCAAACATTAGAACATGCCATTGGGGACTTGCCATTGAAATTTACTGTAGTGTGTTTGTGGCTTCAGGTAAATTCATTAGCTCGTTTGGTCCAATAGACCGATGTCAATTTATTCTACATCTGCTTAGGCCTGTTTTTTTTTTTTTTTTTTTTTTAAGCAGGATTTGTTGAGAAGACAGAAAAGCTCCCACGGTGAGAGGGGACCCGAAGGGGTTGCCCAGGCCTGGGTTGCTTAACCACCCCACACTTTTTAGTTCTTTCTTACATTCTGGCAAAACCATTAGTATGTGCCACTGCTAAGAGACCTTCATGTCAGAACCTTCTTCAGGAAGTTCATATAGAAGAATAATTGTTGCCGGGCTCGGTGGCTCAGCTTGTAATCCCGCGCCTTTGGGAGGTTGAGGTGAGTGAATTGCCTGAGCCTGTGGGTTCAAGACCCGCCTGGGCAGCGAGACCTCATCTCTACAATAAATCAAAAAAATCAGCCGGGCGTGGTAGCGCATGCTCATAATTCCGGCTACTCGGAAGGCTGAGGCGGAAGGATCGCCAGAGCCCAGCAGGTCGAGGCTGCGGTGGCCAGGAGCGGCCACCAAACTCCAGTCTGGGCGACAGGTGAGACTCCGACTCAAAAAAAAAAAAAAAAAGAATAATTGTCTACTCATCTAGTGCTCTCAGAAACGCTTGGCCCCCCCCAACTTAAACCTACCTATTCAGAAGTGACTTGTGACATTTGAACCTCCTCTGCCAACACTTCAGGAAAGGCACATAAGGTCCAGTTGCCAGATACACAGCACTTGGGAAGTATGCGATCTCATTCTGGGGCAAAAGGAGATGAGTGGAGACAAAAACCTCGAAGGCCAGCCTGACCAACTATCACAAAATGCTGTTTGAACTGTACCACCGTAACTGTGCTAGCACCTGGCAAGTAAGGAAGGCCTCCACCCCTTCAGGGATGGAAAGCACGTGATACACCAACTGACTGTCAGATCTAGTATTCTATTAGCCCTTGTCCAGGTAGTCTTGGAATCCTAGCATATGCTACAAAGATTAGATCCAATATGTAAATAAGTGAAAGTGCCTCTAGCCTTGAACAACACCAAGGAATTCAATTCTTGCTTCAAACATGCTCTTAATTGTGACGGAAGCCTTCAGTCAGGAAAATCTGAAGATTTCTTGCCCCATATGAAAGGAAAAAGGTGGCTGGAAGTGTGAGGACTGGTATACTGACTAGCACAACACAGTGACTCTAAAGAACTCTTCTTACCTAGGAAGCATGTTCTGAGCACTGCACTCTGCATAAAAGGAGCATCTCACCAGTGGTCCAGAGTGAGTGGGCTTGGTTTCCTTAGCTATATGTCTATGCCTGGCTTTGAAAAATCAATCACCTTCAGTGGAGAAGCGAGACTACAGTTGGCCAGTCTATGCAAGATCCTTACCTTTAGACCAATGCACCCTGGAGGTACGTAAGGCAGTGAAAACTCCTTCAGTAGTAAAAACATGACTGAAGGAGGGGGGAGGTACAATTTTTAGAAGAAAGGGAGATATATTCTAGAAGGATGCAGAAGAAATGCTGATCAAGCCAAAAAGGTTCTTCCATAAAGGAAAGGCGAAAGCCCAGGGTTTGGCCATGGGATCTGGGTTGCTGAAGGGAGTCATGTGAGAATTAGTAGAACTAAGCAGTTCTAAAAACTGTGAAGTCATAGCATTGGTTAAATTGTTTATAATTAAGTTCCCCAATATGCTGGTAGGAGAGTAGAGAAGAAAAGGGTTAGCCAGGGGCCAGAGCAATAATGCATTATACCCATTTGGTTTTAAATTTTATTCCCTAAACATTAATAACTGATCATTTGCAGTAACTTCAAATTCTTGCAAATTAAAGAAAAAATCTTCAAGTCAAATTCTCTCAACTATTTTGGTCATGATCTAGGTCACTAAATCTATTAAAAGAATCATTCAAAGAAAAATGGAAGCAGTTGATTTAAATCTCCACAAAGTTAAACTGCAAGATGTTTTAGAGTTCATACCTTTCTGAAACACAGCTGATTCTCTAAACACTGCACTTATTCTTAGATACTTTTGTATTAAGAGGATAATTATGTCAGTTGAAATAAGGTAAGTTCTGGTCTCTCACAATAATACCAGCGCTAAAACAAATCCCTTACAAGTGATGATTACCTACTATACACGCTTAACTAGCATCCCTGTTAAAACATGATAGGGTGATGTTTCTCAGACTGGCTTTATGCCTTTTTGAAAACGAATTATGCACTGGCATCATGAATGGCTTCCAGCTCCCTTCCCCCAAACACAAACTTGCTCCAGACCAAAATCAGCAAAAGTTGAACATATATAAAAAGTTAAACTGAGTTATCTTTAGAAAAGTAAACCCTTATGAAATAAACTGCTCAAGTATGAAGAACATCTGAAGGAATAATCAGAGTGGGAAAAGAGTAGCTCAGAATTCTATTGCATGGACCCTTGCTCCAAGAATTCCAAGCCTAGGCTGCCACAGTAACATGGATTGGACTCATAACTTGTTAAATACATTTATAGATGTAAAAGAGAATCTAACCCTTTTAAATATTGTTTCAATGGGAAATGCACTCTAAGGTTTAAAATAAGTTATCTTGCAAATAATCTGGAACACAAATTATTTTCATATTCAAGATGACCTAAATGAGATGTCACCCAAAACTCTAGGAGTTCATACAAACAGATGTACACACAAAATAACAGTTACAATTCAAGGCAATATATGATTAAA